GGCCTCCCAAAGTGCTGGGATTACAGGCGTGAGCCACCGCGCCCGGCCACGCTTGTCTTTTTAAGTCACTTTGGGGAAAGAACCCTAACTTCTAGAACACGGACCCTGGCCTTCCTTCTCCTTGGCTCCTAACTGGCCCTAAGCCTGCCCCAGCTGCCTGGCTCAGTGGGACTGAAGGTGTCAACAGCTGCCACCTCCACGGAGGTGGGGGGACACTCGAACGCAACAGGGCTTTGGGGAACTGGGTGCAGTCTGGGGTCTACGCAATGCCAGCCAAGGCCTCGGGGTTCTCCCTGGTCCTAAGCCCACTCTGAGCCCCGCCTGTCACTGGACCCTGCACAGCCTGGCTGGCTGGGCAACCATGGAACAGAAGATGCCGGCAAAACCCAACACAGCAGCCCCTTGTCCCATCTGCGGGCTGCAGGTGGAAAACCCTGAGCTACTGTCAGGGGCCCGCCACCTCCCTCACAGGCTCCTGCAGGCTACGGCCGCCTCAGACCCTCAGGGAGAGGGGCAGGGCAGACACTGAGCATGACGGGACCCGGCTGAGGGGAGGAGCGCAGCCTTTGGATCCGCGGGTACCCAGGAGGGTGGGTGAGCACTCGCCTCCAAGCCGTAGGATGAGGCGCTCGCAGGAGCCAGCCCTTCCCACCACACGCGCTCACCCCAGCAATGCCAGCCTCACTGGAGCAGAATTCCCTACACAACTCCAACCCCCAGATGGCGAGGGTGCAAAAGGGTCCTGTCCAGACAGCCCTGTGAACACTTGGGCGCTCTGTGAAAGGAGAAATGTGTTACAAGATTTTTCCACAAACACGAATATAAAAGACCACACTGCTCAGATACCGGCACCTGCCACCTCCCACACGTCCGTAGGGCATACCAGGAGTGACATTTCCAGGGCAAGCTCTGCGCAGCATTTTATTTCTGGAACCCCCATGGCGGGGGCGGCCAGTCCTGCTGCAGGAGGAGTTTTCAGTCTTCAGAGTTGATCTTCTGACCCAAGGTCATCACAGCCACAGGCAGAGGCTCGGGAGAGGAGCGGTTCCTGGGACGCCGGCTCCTAATGTCGGTCCCACCTCTCCAGTGCCGCCCTTGTCTCCACCTGGCACAGGAGCTCTGGAGCCGTGGTCCCGAGACCACGGAACAGCCCAGTCAGCCTCGTCCCTCGGTGCAAGCACGGCCTGGCCTCCCTCCCTGCCTGCCCTGGGCCCGGCCACGTCACTCCCTGCGTTTCTTCTTCTTCTCCGGCTCCTGGACACTGGGCACTTTTGCTCGGGCTCGGGCACGAGGCACCCTCCTCCTCTGGCGAGCCCCTCTCTGGCCGCGGCCCCTGGGCTGCTCTCGAAGCAGGGCCTGCTCAGCTGTGCCTGGCTGCTCAGCAGCCTCTGCCCGCACCTCAGGGTCGGCCCCCACGTGCCTCCTCCTGCTCCTCTTCCTCTCCATGCCCGGGCTCGAGGGCTCCTTCTCACCTTTCCCTGACAAAACAGCAAGGTCCCATGAGCCAGAGAATGCCACCATGTGCTCCTTTCCCTCAGTCCAACTCGGGCTGAGAATGCCAGCACCGCTGAGCTGGGACGACAACACGGCCACCCACAACAGCCGGCCAGGCACGTCCCGTGTCCAGTGTGGGCACCAAGCTCCATCAACACGGCCCAGGACCCTAGCAATGGCCGACCTCGGAAGGACCAGTGTGAGGAAAGGGTCACAAGACCCAGGAGCAAAGGTACGGAGGAGCAGGCAGGACTGGGCTCAGCGCAGAAGAGGAGGCAGAAGGAGAAGATGCCAGGTAGTGCCAAGCCCTGAATGCCAAGGCCAACAGTGTTAACACAACTTGCTGCACACAGAAAGCCATGCAGATAGTGTCTGGTGCGGGTGCAGGAACCAGCCGAGGGCTGGCTGCAGAGAGCAGGCCACCGCCCCATGGGAAATGAGTGGACGGAGGAACAGGAAGGGGTGAATCCCCACGCCCTGGGCCCGGTTGAGCATGGACGGAGTAACAGGAAGGGGTGGATCCCCAGGCCTTGGGGCAGTGTTAGCATGGAGAGAGTAACAAGGAAAGCCACCATCTCCCTCCTGTGCGCCCCATTCTGGCCACGGGCCCTACACCCTGCCCGACACTGGGCACAGCCCCTCCACTGCAGACAGGCAGCTCTGGGCCTTGGGTGGTCTGCAGCAGGTGCAAGGCTGCCCCTGGTGAGGGTGTCACATGCCACTCATACTCATGTGGCCAGAGGTCCGAAGGGAAGACAACCCCTGAAATCAGGGACCAAAGTGGAGAGGCTCAGGAATCTTTGGAGGGTGCAGGGGAGGAGCAGACGGGGCTCAGATCTAAATAAGCCTGGGAGGGAGGGCAGCACACACAGCTGGTGGGAGCTGCAGACGAGGAAGGTGGGGTGGGCGGATGCCAAGGACAGGGCATTTCTGGGACACATGTACAGCAGGCACCCAGGACGGGGACTGGGCACTCATGCTTCAGGGGGAGACCCTGCCCAACAAGTGAAGACGACGCCCTTGTGGCCAACACGCCCCAGGCCTACCCTTCCCACCCCCGGGCCAACCCTTTCCACCGCCCGGCCTACCCTTCCCACCGCCCGGCCTACCCTTCCCACCGCCCGGCCTACCCTTCCGGCGCTGCAGCTGCAGCTTGAGTAGACGCTTCTGCTGCTTTGTCTTCTTTTGCCGCCTCCCTTCGAGCAGACGCCTGCAAGCCTTCTCTGGGATCTCGTCCTCAGGGAAAATGCCTGAGAACCACGGCAGAAGTCAGGGGGCTCTGGGGGCCGCGGGCCTTTGGTCTGAGGCTAAATGCTTCCAGCAGGCCCCAGCCACCACCACCCACCGCCAGCGTGTGTGAGAAGGTGCCCTGCTCTAACAGCTGGGGGCAGCATCGGGACCACCACCACAGCTGCACTGAACCCGCTCAGACCCAAGCCCGTGAGGAAACGCCAGTTCCTGGAGCACTGATGACACAGTTTCCATGAACCTAAATGCCTGGGGCCAGAACTGCTCTGAATATCAAACGGTTTTGGACTTGGGAATTTCTGCATCATAGTCACCAGTTCAAGATCCCTAATCTGAAAATCCCAAATCCACAATGTTCCAATGAGCATTTCCCTCCAGCACGCAGCACTTGGTTGCAGATTCTGCCGCATTTTGGATTTGGGGTCTGGAGAGTGACGCCCGACCCATGCGCCAGTCTATAGCCTAGAAATGCCCCTGCTGGGGCACGAGGGGACTTTCCGCATCACAACCGCCAGGTGCACACAATCCTCACACGCCTCACTGACGCAAGCTGTCCTAAAACCCCAGACGACCAGCCTGGCAGCACAGCCAACCGTCTCTACAGAACACTGGCGTGCACCTGCGGGCCCAGCTACTGGAGGTGGAGGTGGATCGCTTGAGCCCAGGAGATCGCTGCCGTGAGCTGCAATCACACACTGCGCTCCAACCTGGGCAATGGAGCGAGACACTGTCTCAAAAAGGAAACCAACCCTGGACGACAGCTCATGACGTGCTCACTGGTGGATGCAGGGGCCGTGACGACAGATTGAGGAGCTTAACACAAGGCCGGGAAGTGCGGAGGCTGGAGCCCGGGACGTGCCAGCATCCACCATGAAATCCCTGCAGCTGTGCCGCAGGTCTGACCTGTTTCATTAGGAAATGCTGGGGAAACGCTTACTCTCTAACCATTAGGGCCCTAGGAAACTGTCCTTCCCATATATAACCTGTGCCAGTTCCCTCTGCCACATACTGCCAAGGACAGACATTTGCTGCACAACAGACCGCTGGCGGCACCGTGGTCAGTGCTTGGGAGCCCTTGCGGCCAGCACCCCGTCTCTCAGGCTCTGGGGGACTCCAGCGGATGCTCAAGTCTGAGAACCCCTCAGCAAAAACGACAGAAGCGAGAGCTGTGGGGCCCTGAGCCCTGCCTCCGTCCCTCAGAAACCCCACCAGGCCTCTCTGCAAAGGCTGCACATGCTGTGACCCCTGGAACCAGTCCACTCCCATGAGGACGGAGCTCCACTTCCAAGGTGGTGCCACTGTCAGCACCCGCATGTCCTCACCTCCTGCCAGGTCCTGTAGCCTGAAAGAGTAAGACAGACACCCGCTCACTATGGCTACGGCTTCCACAGGAGGAGGAAAAGGCTGCTGCCAGAGGGCGTGCAGGGTCCTAGCCAGGGGAACCCCAGGGCGGTGGAGGGCCTCGGGGTCTTCGAGGGGGCCACTCCAGGGACTGCGGAAAGGCCCAGAGCAAGGCGAAGGCACCGGGATCTGAAGGGAGAGGGCCACTCCCAGGGCAGCAGGGCGGACACAGCGCCCTCGGCCACTCACTTCCGGATGACTTTGTAGAGGCGCTTCCTGTTCTGAGAAGGGGTGCTCTGGCGGCTGGCCATTTCAAACAGTCTGTTAGCAACTGCCTCGTAGTCGAACTGTTTCAGAAGAGACATCGGAGGCAAGGTCAGTCACCCTCTTTGTGCTCCGAGAACGTGGAACCCGAGACCCAGACAGCACTTGGTCCCATGTGCAGGTTCTCCACTCGGCTCACAAGACCACAGCCTGCCCTCACTGAGGGTCCTGCAGCCCCCGACCTCACAGCACAGCAGGCACCTTACAAGCTGCAAGACACACTGCTAGGCATGCGCTGCGGGACACACACACACACGCTACGGGACATACACTGTAGACACACACTACTAGGCACGCGCTGCGGGACACACACACACACACACACACACGCTACGGGACATACATTGTACACACACACTGCTGGGCACACGCTGCGGGACACACACACACACACGCTACGGGACATACACTGTAGACACACACTGCTAGGCACGCGCTGCGGGACACACACACACACACATGCTACGGGACATGTACTGTAGACCCACACTGCTGGGCACGCGCTGCGGGACACACACACACGCTACCGGACTTACACTGTAGACACACACTGCTGGGCACGCGCTGCGGGACACACACACACGCTACGGGACATACACTGTAGACACACTGCTGGGCATGCACACTGCAGGGCACACACACTGCAGATGCACTATGGGGGGGTGCACTGTGTGGGCTGGGAGTCCACGCCCGCCAGGAGCCTGCAGCAGCTTTACAAGACTAGAAGCCACACACAAACAAGGACGAAGAAAACAAGTTAATCTGACCAATATTAACCCAAGATATCCAGACTGTATTAAGCCCACAGACAATCACATTTAAAACTTATGACATTTATGTTTCCAATATGCCTGGAGTCAGACCCCACTGGCTGAGTGGACTCCTCACGGGACCCACAGCTGGCCACTTGGCCTGCGCCATCTCAATCCAGCCAAGCACCCCAACGAGGGGGCCGCAGGAAATCTGGGGAGCTGCCTGTGTGTGAGGTGAGGCCAGCCCTGGACAGTGTGGGCCTGCCTCGGAGCTCGCCCACCCAGGGCCCAGCCCCCTCTCAACGACCCCACTTTCCTGCAGGTGGGCAGGGTCGGGGCACCCATCCCTCCTTCAAAGCTAACCCCTGTGCAGGTGACTCTCCAAGCCAGCGGCTGCCATCCTCCCTCCTAACAGCCCCTCCTTTTCCAGAGCCGGCAGCTGCACAGAAAGGCAAAAGGTTGAGGGTGAATCTGTGAGCTCAGGGCACCCACCTGGAGGACGGGGCCGCCACTGTCCCTGTCATCACCTGCTTGCTCCTCACCAGCCTCAAGTTCAGCCTTGCAGAGGGAGCCTGGAACAAAAGGGACACTGTGAACTCCAAGACCCGCACCCAACATGTACCGCCCTCAACACCCGGGAACGGAGAGCCCACTCCATGTGCCCTGTCAGAGTGCGGGCACAGGCAGGAAAGCCCGAAGCTCGAGGGACAGTGATCTCTCATCTCATATGGATCGGATGAGAGGTGCCACCTCAGGCCTGGAAAGGAAAAAAGACATCCCGGGGCAGAGGTGCTTATACGGCCCTGAGTGGCTGTCTACAAGCTGGCACCTCAGGCAACGAAGGCTGTGGGCACCAAGGTTTCGGTCGGGTGCTCGAGCTGCCCCGGGGAACTTGGGGCTTTAACGGCACTGTCTGCAGAAGAAAGGTTTCCGGGCAACAGGCAGCTGTGGGGGCAGCATGTGATAAGGGTCTGCTCTGGAGGTGGCAGCAGGCACTGGCAGACCTGCCCGGCGCCTCCTTGGCTACTGAGAGAAGGGCAAGGCACGGACCAGGGAGACGTGCACAGAGTGGCTGGGCCAAGTGCTGGGAGCGGTGGGAAGGGGGTCTTCTGATTAGGAAGCCAAGGGGCACAGCAGCCACAGCACTGACTCAGGGGTAGACCAGAGTCCTGAGCATTGTCAAAGACACGCCCTCCACAGCACCAGGATGCCACACTTAGGGCTCAGACCACCCAGGAGGCTCGAACAGGGAAGCAGCATCAAACCAGAAACGGGCCAGGCGGGACCCCACAGCTGCCTCCAGTGCCCTCTGGCAGGCAGGGAGGAGCAGGTCCACCCACCCGTCCCACAGCAGTCAGGTGCCCCAAGGTCTCAGGCCTGAACTCAGCCACAGTCAGTATGCACAGAGCTCACTGTCCTGTGGGGAGACAGGCCAGGAACGAGGAACATGAGCAGGTGATTCACATCCCGTGCCACAGGGTGACACTATGGGGAAGACTGCGTGGGAGGCTGGGGGAGGGAGGGAGAGGCCAGGAGGCTGGGGGAAGTTGGGGGAGGGAGGGAAAGGCCAGGAGGCTGGGGGAGGGAGGGAAAGGCCGGGAGGCTGGGGGAGGCCAGGGGGCTGGGGGAGGCTGGGGGAGGGAGGGAGTGGCCGGGGGCTGGGGGGGGCGGGGGGGGGGGGGGGGGGGGGGGGGCCGGGAGGCTGGGGGAGCCTGTGAGAGGAATGGAGAGGCCAGGAGGCTGGGGGAGGACTGACTGCGTGGAGGCTGTGGGAGGCCGGGAGGCTAGTGGAGGACCGCATGGGAAGCTAGGGGAGGCCCGGAGAGTGAAGGGGACAGACGGCGGGAGGAACAGGAGACTCGGCACCAAGGCAGAAGCAGGCCCAAGGGCCTGACCGAGCCAGAGGCCTGCTGGGTTAGACCGAGGAACCCAGGGGTCCGGAGAGGGCATGGAGCACACCAGAGGCTGGGGGCTGACAGGGAAAACGACCCGTGTGCTTGCAGGTCACAGAGGTCGCTCTGGCTTCCACGCTGAGGATGGACTTTGCGGAGGGCAGAGGCAAGGGGACCGGGCAGGAGGTGGCTGGAGCAACCCAGCAGGAGACCACACTGGCTCAGCCCAGACCAGGCGCCCAGGAGGAGCCAGGCGTGCTGTGCCCCCACCTGCGGGTGGCCTCTTGGCACTCTTCTGGGGCAGCGTGTCTCCGCGTTCACCGCCCTCCGAGGACTCATCGCTGTCTGACGCTGCCTGGTCATCTTGCATGTCCAGTTCATTCAGGAGGTCTTCGATGGCCAGTGGGGCCTGTTCCACAATCGTTTCAAAGATGCCTCGAGTGATGTTGTTCAAAACCAGGGAGCTGAGGGCAGAGCAGAGGCCGGCACAGGCCCGGCGTGCTGGATTCCCACGCGGAAGCAGCCGACGCCCCAGCGGGCTCTCCCCACCCGCACGGCCAGCGGCCGCTCCGCGACCCGGATTCTTCCCTGGAGGGAGCGGTACCCCCGAGACGGCAGCCCCACAGAAGAACTCAGTGAAGGAGGCAGGCCCAACCAGGCTGCCCAGCACTTACTCCTTGGTCCGGGCGGCGATTCTGCAGAAGGGGTCGATGAACTTGAGGTTCTGGTCTGCTGTGAGCTGCAGGGAAAGCCGGCGGGAGCTCAGCTCGTCCTCCACAAACACCCAGCTCCGCCACCCTGTCAGAGCCCAGCCTCACCTCCTCGGCGCCCACTTTGGCCAGCTCCTCCAGGAAGATCTCGATGAAGTGGCTCTTCACCCCGTGGGGGGCCTGGCTGCTGGGGTGCAGGATCTCAGTGGTCAGCAGCTCCAGCAGCTGCTCGATCTGTCTGAGGAAAGAAAAAGCAAATATGACAGGCAGCCTCGCCGAGCCCCAAGCCAGTGTGTCCTCAGTCTCCGCAGTTATTCGCTGCAGTGGGAACGGAAGTGCGGGCAGGCTCCACTGTCTGCAAACATGCCAGTCTTCAGGTCCACACAGGTGGGGTCAGTGATCCTGGGTCTATTCCAGCGCACGGGCTTGCAATCAGGGAGTTACGTGAACATCACCAGCACCAGAACACACGGCCTGAGTTTGCATCTCAACTACAAAATGCGGCACGTGTCAACACTCAGACAGGCCTTCCCTCTGTCCTCAAGATGGCTAGCAGTGGGAAAGGCTTGGCTGAGACACGACACTGCTACCACCTGCCTGGTGTTCCCCTCTGCTGTCCCCACTGGGAACAGCTGGGGAAGACGGGTCAGGACAGCACAGGTAGAGAAAGGTGGAGGCCCAGAAAGGGGCTGAGGATCAAGAGGCGCCTGCTGGCTTCTGAGCCCCGCCGCACGGAGCATTCCATCCGTGACGTCCACCAGAGCTCTCCCTGGCACGGATCCGAAGACCAGACAGCCCAGGGAACAGGCTTTACCATCTAGATGCCTCTGGACCTCCTGGAGTGCTCAATAATGCAGATACCAAACTTGGATTTGTTAACTGTGTGACCCCCAGGAAGCTCCACAGCGAGGCCTGAGGATCACCCGTGACGCTCTCGAAGGCTCAGGAAAAAGGAAGCAGAGGCAAGAACAGCTGCCAAGGCCAAGAGGAAGACACACAGACGTAAGGGCCCAACTTCCCAGGCCAGGACGATGCCATGGGCACTCGTGACAGCCCGGTTACGGCTGCAGGAGATCTGAGACGGCAGGAAGCGTGGACACCACTGCCAGCACCGGGACCCTGGGCACGGGGCAAGGCACCAAGGTCCCCCAAATGATTCCTGTACTGAGTTCTCAGCAACAGTGAGGAAAGTACTCTTGGAATAAGAAGCCAAAAAAAGTTAACCGAAGTAAAGTCATCCCTTTAACAGTTAATTCCGTTAAGTCACGAGCCCCCTATGGGGTCACCCACACACTAAGTCCTAGAATGAGTAAGAGGCTCAGGGCCTCACAGTCCTGCCAGGGAATTCAAGCGTGGAAATCCCCACAAACTGAAGGCACCCCTGCCCTAAATGCACAATCACCCACAGCCACTCCAACCTACAGAAAGTCAGGCAACCACAGGCCAACTCCTGCTGATTCTTTTTTTTTTTTTTTTAAAGAAACAATCTCGACTAGGGCAGTGGCTCACACCTGTAATCCCAGCACTTTGGGAGGCTTAGGCAGGCGGATCACAAGGCCAAGAGATTGAGACCATCATGGCCAACATGGTGAAACCCTGTCTCTACTAAATTAAATACAAAAATTAGCAGGACGCCATGGCAGGTGTCTACTCCAGCAGGTAATCCCAGCTACTCGGGAGGCTGAGGCAGAAGAATTGCTTGAATCTGGGAGGCGCAGGTTGTAGTGAGCAGATCGCACCGCCACACTTCATTCTGGTGACAGAGCAAGACTCCGTCTCAAAAAAAAAACAAAACCCAAAAAGACAGAATCTCACTCTTATCACCTAGGCTAGCGCAGTGGGTCGGTCATGGATGACTGCAGCCTCAAATTCTTAGGTTCAAGGGATCCCCTTGCCCCACCATAACCAGCCTGCTCATTCTTTTTTTCTTTTTTCGTATTTTTAGTAGAGACAGTGTTTCACCGTGTTAGCCAGGATCATCTCAATCTCCTGACCTAATGATCTGCCCGCCTCAGCCTCCCAGAGTGCTAGGATTCCAGGTATGAACCACCACACCCGGCCTTGCTAATTTTTTTATGTTTTTTTTTAATCAGCTATCATGGTTGAGTGCAGTGGCATCATCTTAGCTAGGTTGCAGCCTCCACCTCCCAGGTTCAAGTGATCCTCCCACTTCGGCCTCCCAAGCAGCTGGGACTCCAGGTGCACACCACCAGACCCAGCTACTCGTGACAAGGAATTAAAGGTGTGAGTCACCACGCCTGGCCCTGATACTTTTTTATAAGGGAAGAGGCAAAGAAGGCTGGGGCAGCCAGGTGCGGTGGCTCATGCCTATAATCCCAGCACTCTGGGAGGCCGAAGCAGGCGGATCACCTGAGGTCTGGAGTTTGAGAACAGCCTGACCAACATGGAGAAACCCATCTCTACTAAAAATACAAAATTAGCTGGGCACGGTGGCACATGCCTGTAATCCCAGCTACTGAGGAGGCTGAGGCAGGAGAATTGCTTGAACCTGGGAGGCAGAGGTTGCGGTGAGCTGAGATCATACTATTGTACTCCAGCCTGGGCAACAAGAGCAAAACTCCATGTCAAAAAAAAAAAAAAAAAAAAAAAAGGCTGGAGCAACGATGTGTGAACTTCACAACCCCAAAGACAGCAATGTCTTACACTAACTTAGGCCATAAGCTATGATCTCTGGTCTAACATCTATGTGACATTTGGGTTCTACTTTTCATCTTTAGATACTCAAAATCAACTCCTTGAACATATAAATTACAAATCAATTCCAAATATATTTTTCTAAACCCTTCTCCACCCCCGCCTCCAAAAAGAAAGACCACGCAGCAGAACTCGGACAGATGTCTTTGATGGACTGCAGTGAAAGGAAAGAGTTTGCACCTTTACTTTTGTAAATACACGTGCCCACAAAAGATGGCCGTGGCAGGGTCAGATGGAACATTTTCATTAACATTGGAGTTTACATTACTGTTTTTTTTTGAGACAGGGTCTGGCTCTGTTGCCCAGGCTGGAGTGCAGTGGCATGTTCTCAGCTCACTGCAGCCTTCAGCTTCCAGGTTCAAGGGATGCACGTGCCTCAGCCTCCCTAGTAGCTGGGATTACAGGCGCCCCCCCCCGTCCAACACACCCAGCTAATTTTTGTGTATTTAGTAGAGACGGGGTCTCACTGTGTTGGCCAGGCTGGTCTTGGACTCGTGCTCCACCCACCTCGGCCTCCCAGCGTGCTGGGATTACAGGCGTGAGCCGCTGCGCCCACCCTGGAGCCTGTACTCACTTTCTAGTGTTTGGCCAGGAGCAGTGGCTCACATCTGTCATCACCCTTTGGGAGGCTGAGGCAGGAGGGTCGCTTGAGCCCAGGAGTTGGCCCCATCTCCATAAAAAAACAAAATAAATTATAAATAAAATAATGTTTCCTAAAGTTTTGAGACTTTTTTTTCTTTTTTTGAGACAGAGTCTCACTCTATAGCCAGGCTGGAGTGCTACAGCACTATCTCGGCTCACTGTAACCTCCACCTCCCAGGTACAGGTGATTCTCCTGCCTCAGTCTCCTGAGTAGCTGGGACTACAGGTGCGCGCCACCACGCCCAGCTAATTTTTGTATTTTTCACAGAGACGGCGTTTCAGCCACCACGCCTGGCCAAGTTTTGAGGTTTTATGGAGACAGAGTCTCACTCTATTGCCCAGGCTGGAGCGCAGTGCCACGATCTTAGCTCACCACAAGCTCTGCCTCCTGGGTTCAAGCCATCCTCCTGCCTCAGCCTCCCTAGTACCTGGGACTACAGGTGCACAACACCATGCCCAGCTAATTTTTGTATTTTTAGTAGAAACAGGGTTTCACTATGTTGGCCAGGCTGGTCTCAAACTCCTAACCTTGTGATCCACCTATCTCAGACTCCCAAAGTACTGGGATTACAGACATGAGCCACCACGCCCAGCCTAGGTTTTGAGTTTTTTTTTTTTTTTTTTTTTGAGACGGAGTTTCGCTCTTGTTACCCAGGCTGGAGTGCAATGGCGCGATCTCGGCTCACCGCAACCTCCGCCTCCTGGGTTCAGGCAATTCTCCTGCCTCAGCCTCCTGAGCAGCTGGGACTACAGGCACGCGCCACCATGCTCAGCTAATTTTTTGTATTTTTTAGTAGAGACGGGGTTTCACCATGTTGACCAGGATGGTCTCGATCTCATGACCTCGTGATCCACCCGCCTCGGCCTCCCAAAGTGCTGGGATTACAGGCTTGATCCACCGCGCCCGGCCTGGTTTTGAGTTTTTTATACTGAGTATGCATCACTCATTTTTTAAAAAATTACAAAGAAATCTAAAATTTTTAAATTAATTTTTAAAACTTTAAAATGTTAAACACTTAGAAACTCATTTTGTATTATAAAACTCAGCCTGCCCCTGAAGGTTTAGAAAATGCTGCCCTTAAGTTGGATGAAGAGGCTCAGCGTGCCAGGCTGGCAGCAGGGGTCAGATCCCTACCTACACCCCTCGGTCTCTGGAGCAGGGACTGGCAGCAGGCAGAGGCAGAAGCAGCAACACTGCCAGGACGGGAGTCTGCCCCCGCCCGGCTTGGCACCCGAAGGTGCCCACGGTTAGACAGAACACACAGGACCCCGACCACCCCACCTCAGGCACTGCTGCTGAAAGTGAAAAGCCTGGACAATTTACATAGTTTTAGAATTAGGAGCAATTAACACTGCTTACAACTTGGGAGGACTAGAAGACAGACTGCTTGAGCCCAAGAGCTTGAGACCAGCCTGGCCAACAGGACAGAATTCGTCTCTACCAAAAAAGACACAAAAACTATGTGGGACTGTGGTGCACATCGGCAGTCCCAGCCACTTAGGAGGCTGAGGCAGGAGGATCACTTGAGCCCAGGAGGTCAAGGCTACAGTGAGCCGAGATCACGCCACTGCACTCCAGCCCAGGCAAGTGAGACCTACTTCAAAAACACAAAAAGCACTGCTAACAGAGCTGAGCACGCTGTGTTTTTCTAAGAAGCTCCTCGGCTGGACACCCTTTCATGACAGGACTCCCTTCTGACTCCCAGTGAGAACTGACCTTCTAGCCTGGGGATAAACGGCACCATTTCCACAAACACTGGAGTGCAGTGCTACTAATCTTTATTTTAAAAAATGTCTTCACTCTAAGCACCACTGGGGCATGCTTTAATGGAAAGGCTGACATCTTCTTATGACAAAGAATCAAAAGACAAACAAGACAAGCTGCGTCCCCAAGAACAGCGTCCCCCGAGAGCAGGCCCGCCATGCACCCACCTTTCTTCCCAGCCACGCATCTTCAGAGCCTTCAAGGACTCGTTCAGGACCATCCGCATGAGCTTTGACACAGGAGGTTCGTGTTAGCAGAAGCCCAGCCTGACTGCACCAGACCACCCTTCCCCATGTACCAGGAGCCGCTGGAGGATGAGGCCATGGCCGTGGTCACCTCTGCCACACCCAAGCACACCGCTGGCCCCCAGAGCTGCTGACAGACGAACGCCAAGCCTCAACCCCTGAATAAAGCTCCAGGTCTGCCCCACAATGCCACTGCCCCTCCATGGGGCTCAACACCCATTGCAGCTGTCCCCGCTTTAGGCTGCTGATCAGCATGCCCATACGCCCACAGAGGGGTCTGAACCACAGTCAATAGTAGCAGAGGGCACCCAGACCCCCAGGACCCCCGATGACAGGGCACAGCCCAGCACCACGACACTGCTCTTGCAGGCATGGGAGGCCACCCCCCGCGCCCGGTCTCTGCCCCCAGGTGCCCCCACCCCCGGTGCCCGGTCTCTGCCCCCAGCTGCCCCTACTCCTGGCGCCCTGTCTCTGCCCCCAGCTGCCCCCATCCCCGGTGCCTGGTCTCTGCCCCCTCCCCCACACCCTGGCGGCTGCCTCACCATGTAGAACTTGTCCAGGCGCAGCCTGTCAATGCCCGTCCACTCGCGGTTCATGGTCTGCCAGAAGGTCTGCAGGAACAGGTGCTCTGGAGGAGGAAGAAGCCAGAAGAGAACCACTGAGGAGCGCAAAGCCACTCTGGGAAGTGAGACGAGAACATGCAGGAACCCCTTCTTTACATGTGCACCCACGGACACCGGCATCTCACACAAGCACCCACAGACACCAGCATCCCACACCTGCTAAGCCCGCAGACGCCAGCGTCCCACACCTGCTAAGCCCGCAGACGCCAGCGTCCCACAACTGCTAAGCCCGCAGACGCCAGCGTCCCACACCTGCTAAGCCCGCAGACGCCAGCGTCACACACACGCTAAGCCCGCAGGCGCCAGCGTCACACACACGCTAAGCCCGCAGGCACCAGCGTCACACACACGCTAAGCCCGCAGACACCAGCGTCCCACACCTGCTAAGCCCGCAGACACCAGCGTCATACGCACGCTAAGCCCGCAGGCACCAGCGTCACACGCACGCTAAGCCCGCAGACACCAGTGTCCCACACCTGCTAAGCCCGCAGACACCAGTGTCCCACACCTGCTAAGCCCGCAGGCACCAGCTGGTGCTCTCTTGCTCTAAGGTGTTCCTTGCTTTGGATTTGAGAACGCAAACCTACTGGTCTGGTGGCTCTGAGGTGTCTGTGATGCTCTGAGGTTCTGACATCTACAAATGTAGCCAACCACGGCAGAGCATACTCACGTGCCTCCGTGGTCTGAAAAGCATGAATGAGCTGGGAAATGGTCCTTCCTAATTCTTCCTGTGCAGGGAACAACAAAAACCCCCTCAGCCCTGAAGCTCACAATAACAAACACACAGCCACTCACTCACCCACTCACCTACTCACTCACTCATCAGAGTCGGCTTCCAGGGGATCTCAGCTCAGTGGACTGGAGGTTTCACCCCTGCTGCAAAAGACCCCCTCTACAGCCGGGGTCAACAGCCTCTCACACGACCACGGCAGGCACTGCCCTCCTAACGGGGGCTGTGCCCTAAGCAACAGAGAGTCAAGGCCAAAAAGGGATGTGGGAGAGCAGAGGGGAGCCTTGGGACTCGCAGCCCCTAACCATGAGGAGGAGGAGAGCTGCGAGACCCCAGAGGTCCCTTGCCCTCTGCCTGCATCACCCAGGGCACTTACTAACAGACATTTCACAGCCCCCCTTGATCATCCAATGGGCACGGAATATGGCCCAGGAATCTGAACTTAACTAAGTACCCTCACCACCCAGGTGATTCTGAAGACCACAAAATTCACAATTTGAGAAACAATGTTTGGAAAAGGCTAGTGGGAGAAGTGCTCGTCTCAGGAGACTTGATTCAGCCCATCGGCTTCCACTATTTCAGAACTTGTTTGCAACCCGGGACAAACACAAAACCCAGTTTTCACCCACGGAGCCAGTGCTGCTACAGTGCACAACACAGTCAATCATGTCCTCAGCAAGTGTACGACTTACTCTAACCAAAGGCCCACACCCACCAGCCATGCAGAACCGAGCATGGAGGCTATACGACCTCCCCCAGGGTCTTCGGCCATATTAAAACTGGGTGGAGGAGATGCCAGTCCACCCTCCCCCGCTGCTTCTGCACCCTCCTCTGCTGCTCACCCCACTCACCTGGAGGAGCGGCTTGTCCTGCATCCACATGCAATAGAACAGCCCTTTCCACACTTTCAGCAGCTCGTCATGAGTAAAACCATCTGCATCAAAACAGCAACATTTGAGCGCCAGAAAGGAAGTCACAGAAATGTGACTGTCTGAATGAGACCAAAGTCCCACTTACAGTAAAGGCAGTTGGGGGCAGAATCTGACCCTCCCTTCAAACAATCCTTCTAACCCAAAACCCGATGCGACTGTGGCTGCGCAGCTCCTCCAGGTAACTGTCACTTGATGCGCTCAGTGAAACTGACTGAGAATCTACAAGGTATCAGGCAAGGTACATTTTGGAAATTCAAAATTGCGAACCTCAACCATTTCCTAAGCTGGACAGTGGCCACATAGGTTAATCTGTTGGTGATAATTCACCCAGCATTACACTGAGGGTTTCTGCACTTTTTTGTAACATATCTCAAATATTAAAAGAAGAAAATTAACTCAGGCATTCTGACTAGCAAGGAAAACAGATATAAACTTACTCAGACCAGGTGCGGTGGCTCATGTCTGTAATCCCAGCATTTTGGAATTGAGTGCTGAGGCAGGATCACAGGAGTTCAAGACCAGCTTGGACAACATAGGAAGACCCCAATTTGTACAAAAAATACAAAACTCAGCTAGTCGTGGTGGCACGGCACCTGCAGTCCCAGCCACTGGGGAGGCTGAGATGGGAGGCTCACATGAGCCTGGGAGGTAGAGGTTGCACTGAGCTGTGACCCTGCACGACAGAGTGAGGTCTTACTCAGAAAAATAATGTTTTAAAAATGTGAAACAGCCGGGCGCAGTGGCTCAAGCCTGTAATCCCAGCACTTTGGGAGGCCGAGGCGGGTGGATCACGAGGTCAAGAGATCAAGACCATCCTGGTCAACATGGTGAAACCCCGTCTCTACTAAAAATACAAAAACATTAGCTGGGCATGGTGGTGCGTGCCTGTAGTCCCAGCTGCTCAGGAGGCTGAGGCAGGAGAATTGCCTGAACCCAGGAGGCGGAGGTTGCGGTGAGCCAAGATCGCGCCATTGCACTCCAGCCTGGGTAACAAGAGCGAAAACTCCATCTCAAAAAAAAAAAAAAAAAAAGTGGTGAAACATTACTCAGTTGACATTCATGGGAGTCCTGTATGTCTGGCAGCCTGCTCCTGGAGCAGGGATTCTCAGGCTGAGTGTGGGCAGCAGAAGCACTTGAACAGCTTCCTAAAGCAGACTGCAGGTCCTGGTTTCGCAGGGCTGCGACCCTAGAACTTGCATCTCTTTCTTCTATTTTTTAATGGAAATGGGGTCTTGCTATGTTGCCAGGTTGGACTGCTGGGCTCTTCTGATCCTCCCATCTAAGCATCCCGAGTAGCTGGGATTTCAGGCTTGGGCCACGGCGCCCAGCACAGAATGTGCATTTCTAACAAATGTCCAGGGGATGCTACCGCTGATGGGGGGCCACGCTCGGTGAACCACGAGTACCACGAACACAAACTGCACACAGTGAGAAATGCTTCCATGAGGGAAAAATGCTGGGTGCCCAAACAGCAAGGCAGCAGGAGTACCCGGTGTACTGGAGGGAGAGACGTCTGAGCTAGGAGAGGAGTTAGGGGGCTGGGGAGGAGCGTCCTCGCAGAGGGACCAGAAGTCACCGCACTATGAGGGAAAGCGGCCGCGGGGGCCGGGGACCAGGGGCAGGGCGAGGGCCGAGAGCCGGTAGCAGCGGGAACAGGCCCGTGGGCCCCGCCTAGCCGGCCCGGCCACGTGGGTGTTCCACAAAGCTCGGAGGGCCCCTGGCCCCGGCCGCCGCCGCTGGCACCCGCAACAGCCCCAGCAGGTCCGCGAGACGCCCGCCGCCCACACCCATGCCAACCTGCGGCCCGTTGAGTCCTGGCGACAATGTATTTGCGGAGCTTCCTCACCGCCCGGTCTCGGGTCACCTGCTCGTTCCCCGCCAGGCGCTGAGCCAGCTGGATCTCAGGCGGGAGCTGCACGCGCGAAACCATGACGCCGGTGGCGACAGGCCCTGTCTCTCAGCCGCCGGTCCCAGCACACTGAACACACGCCGCCGGCGCCCGCCTCCTCCTGGCCCGGCGCGCGGCGTGACGTCACACGTCCGCGACACTGTCTAGGCGCACGCCACCGCCGCGCAGTGGCCGAGCTGCGCGACTGCAGCCCCCAGAGGCCGAAGGCGGCAGGGAGGGCGCTCGCTCCCTGCCTGTGCGCATGCGCGGAACCGTCGCAGGGGCTGCGGTTGATCGGGGTTAGGAGGCAATGCTCTCTTGTTTTTTAATCTCATTTTATTTATAAGCCCACTTGTATTTTTTTCCTGAGACAGGGTCTCGCTCTGTGGCCCAGACTGGAGTGCAGTGGTGCGATCTCGGTCACTGCAGCCTCGGCCTCCCGGGCTCAAGGGATCCTCCAGCGGGAGCCTCCAGAGGAGCTGGGACCGCAGGCGCCACCGCGCTCGGCTCTAACTTTGCTTTTAAAATCGTGGTGGCTGGATTTGGCCTAGGACCATAGTTTGCCATCCTCTGATGTAGAAAATGTTCTTTATTGTTAGAAATAATTGCGGAACTCTTTGGTAAAGGTGACGTGTCATGATGTCTGGAAGCTCGTTCTGCAGCAAAGTGAATTCCACGCACGTGTGTCTGCGGTAATCCACTGCGGTAAACTGTTAACAGCTGTGGAGTCTAGACGCAGGAATACAGGTGTCCAGTGACCCATCTTCTGACTTTTTCTACGTTTGGAATTTTTCATGAAGAATTGGAAGGCGGGGCACTGTGGCTGACGCCTGTAATCCCAGCACTTGGGGAGGCCGAGATGGGTGGATCACCTGAGATCAGGAGTTGGAGACCAGCCTGGCCAACATGGTGAAACCCGTCTCTACTAAAAATACAAAAATTAGAGGGTCAGGCGCAGTGACGGGCACCTGTAATCCCAGCACTTTGGGAGGCCGAATCATACCATTGCACTTCAGCCTGGTGGCAGACTTTGAGACTCTGTCTCAAAAAAAAAAAATTTTTTTTTTTTTAAAGTTGGGAAACATTTTAGCAACTGGTTTCAAAATTTTAATTTTTTTTTTTTTTTTTTTTTTTTTTTTTTTTTTCCTTTTTTTGAAACGGAGTTTCGCTCTTGTCACCCAGGCTGGAGTACAGTGGTGTGATCTAGGCTCACTGCAACCTCCGCCTCCCAGGTTTAAATGATTCTCTGGCCTCAGCCTCCAGAGTAGCTGGGATTACAGGTATGCACCATCATGCCCAACTAAATTTTGTGTTTTTAGTAGAGACCAGGTTTCACCATGTTGGCCAGGCTGGTCTCAAACTCCTGACCTCAGGTAATCTGCCCTCGTTGGCTCCCCCAAGTGCTAGGATTACAAACATGAGCCACCCACCTGGCCTAGAATCAGAATTAGTTCTTTTGGTAATGAAGTAACCTGGCCTGGAGCTTACAGACTCAGTTTAGTGGTGACGCCAGGTGATAACATATGCATGTGTTTTAGAGTACATATTTTAGAGTTTGCTTCATGCTGTGAAAAATCGAACACATGAAAAGGAAGACGACCAAGCATAAAGAAAAGAGTAATTTCGGTACACATGTCATGAACTTCTGACACAAAATCTCACCAAAATAAGTAAATGCATCAGCATATGTTTTCAAAATACGACCGGCCTGCAGGCACAGTGGCTCACACCTGTAATCCCAACTCTTTGGAAGGCCATGGTGGGCAGATCACTTGAGTCCAGGAATTGGAGACTGGCAAGACCCTGTCTCTAAAAAAAATACAAAAAATTAGCCAGGCAAGGTGGCGTCTGTAGTCCCAGATACTTGGGAGGCTGAGATGGGAGGATCACCTAAGCCTGGGAGGCTGCGTGAGTCGAAATCACACCACTGCAATCCAACCTGGGCGACATAGCAAAACCTTGCCTCAAAAATAATACTACTAATTGATTGATACTCTACAAGTGTCAAGAATGTGAAAGACAGAGACAGAGCAACTGTCTGAGACTACAGTTGACAACATGGAATATGGGGGGACAGCAGTGAAAGAGGGGCCACCTCTATGGATGAGTTCATGCTATTGTGTCTGTACTGTGCGTGTGCAACATGTTAACATTTGGGGGCAGGGGGTGGGGACTCGCCTGTAATCCCAGCACTTTCGGAGGCTGAGGCAGGTGGTTCACCTGAGGTCAGGAGTTCGAGACCAGCCTGGCCAATATGACGAAACCCCATTTCTACTAAAAATACAAAAATTACCCAGGTGTGGTGGTGGGTGCCTGTGATCCCAGCTACTTGGGAGGCTGAGGCAAGAGAAATGCTTGAACCCAGAAAGCAGAGGCTGCAGTGGGCCGAGATCACGCCATTGCACTGCATCCTGGGCAACAAGAGCAAAACTCCGTCTCAAAATAAATTAAAAAAAAAAAAAAAAAGTAACATTTGGGGAAACTGGAGGGAAAGTTTACGGGAACTCTGTGTTACTTTTGCAACCTAAAATTATTTCAGTATAAAAACCTTTAAAAACTGTAAAAGTAAAAACAGTGGGCCAGGCATGGTGGCCAACACCTGTAATCCCAGCACTTTGGGAGGCTGAGGCAGGTGGATAAGTACGCCTTTTAGAAACTGACTTATTAAAGTTACCTGAGGTCAGGAGCTCAAGACCAGCCTAGCCAATATGGTGAAACCCCGTCTCTACTAAAATACAAAAATTAGCTGGACGTGACAGTGGGCACCTGTCATCCCAGCTACTTGGGAGGCTGAGGCAGGAGAATTGCTTGAACCTAGAAGGTGGAGGTTGCAGTGAGCCGAGATGGCACCATTGCAATCCAGCCTGGGTGACAAGAGGGGAACTCCATCTCTCAAAAAAAAAAAAAAAAAAGCGAAAAGAATCGGATGGGGCCAGGCACAGTGGCTCACACCTGCAATCCCAACACTTTGGGAGGCTTGGGGGGCAGATCACTTGAGGTCGGGAGTTTGAGAACAGCCTGGCCAACATGGTGAAACCTGTCTCTATTAAAAATACAAAAATTAGCCAGGCGTGGGACGGGCACCTGTAATCGCAGTTACTCAGGATGCTGAGGCAGGAGAATTGCTTGGACCTGGGAGGCAGAGGTTGCAGTGAGCCGAGATGGGACCACTGCACTCCAGCCTGGGCAACACAGCGAGACTCTCTCCCTCCCCCGACTGAAGAAAAGAGTCTGATGCGAATTTGGGGAATGCATATGTTTCCCAGTCACACACATTGCCCACTTTTTTTTTTTTTTTTGCCATCTACAATTCTATTACCAAGAACTCCACATTGCCCGCTCTCACATCAGCTCCTAACAGCAGTGTTTCTGTCGGTTGTATCTGCCCTGCACTCAGCGCCTGGAGCGTGCGACGGGAGAAACAGCTGTGAATCTCTCCCTGGGCCCAGGTTAGCAACAGAAGCTGCACAGTGATGCCGCATGATAAAGACAGACTGACATCTCTCCACTCCACGCGGCATCATGTTGATCTTCGTCCTGTCCTAGGTTGTCCCACTGTGTTTTGTTGTCTAGAATGTAGAAAATTCCATGTTTCTGGGTCCTGTGTGTTCTCAGCCTTGGTCTTTTTTTTTTTTTTTTGAGATGGAGTCTCGCTCTGTCACCCAGACTGGAGTGCAGTGGCGAAATCTCTGCTCACTGCAACCTCCACCTCCCAGATTCAAGCGATTCTCCTGCCTCAGCTTCTTAAGTAGCTAGGTTAACAGGTGCGTGTCACCACGCCCGACTAATTTTTTGTATTTTTAGTAGAGACAGGGTTTCACCATGTTAACCACGATGGTCTTGATCTCCTGACCTTGTGATCTGTCCGTCTTGGCCTCCCAAAGTGCTGGGATTACAGGTGTGAGCCACCACGCCTGGCCCAGCCTTGCTGTTTCAACTCTAGGCTCAACTTAATGGGAACAGATAGGTTCAAGGGTGTGTGTGATGTCATTAAAGCCAAATTTTGTTTCTGTGCTGGAAAATATATATTGGCCTGGACAACATGGCAAAACCCTGTCTCTACAAAAAAATACAAAAAGTAGCGGAGTGTGGTGGTGCCTGCCTGTAGTTCCAGCTACTGGGTGGGAGTGGGTGTGGGTGGAGGCAGGAGGATTGCTTTAGGTCAGGAGCTGCAGGCTGCAGTGAGCTGAGATCACGCCACTGCACTCCAGCCTAGGCAACAGAGCAAGACCCTGTCTCCCAAAATAAAAATATATATACTATGCGATGTACAGGGAAGACGTCCCTTTCCTGTGGGTCCTAACCACTAACTGGGTGGCTTAAAATGACAGTAGTTTATTCTCTCACAGCTCTGGAGGCCAGAAGGCTGAGACCAAGGTGTCCGCAGGGACATGTTCCTCTGAAGGCTCCAGGGGAGGGTCCTTCCTGCTGCCTCGAGCTCCTGGCAGCTCCCAGTGCTCCCCCACCCCCTCCTCGCCCCCCACATCTCCCCAGGCTCTGCCTCCATCTTCTCACGGCCTCTCCCCGTGTGTGTCTTCACAAGCGTTCTTCCCATCTCCGTGGCCTCTCCTTTTCTTCTTATTCTTTTTTATTTATTTATTTATTTATTTTTGTTAAGACAGAGTCTCCACAGGGTGCAGTGGCTCACACCTGTAATCCCAGCCCTTTGAGAGGCGGAGGTGGGCGGATCACGAGGTCAAGAGATCAAGACCATCCTGGCCAACATGATGACACCCCATCTTTACTAAAAATACAAAAATTAGCTGGGCGTGGTGGCACGTGCCTGTAGTCCCAGCTACTCGGGAGGCTGAGGTGGAAGGATCACTTGAACACGGGAGGTGGAGGTTTCAGTGAGCCAAGACTGTGCCACTGCACTCCAGCCTGGCAACAGAGCAAGACTCCGTGTCAGGAAAAAAAAAAAAAAAAAAAAAAAAAAAAAAAAGAGGCCGGGCACGGTGGCTCACGCCTGTAATCCCAGCACTTTGGGAGGCCGAGGCGGGTGGATCACGAGGTCAAGAGATCGAGACCATCCTGGTCAACATGGTGAAACCCCGTCTCTACTAAAAATACAAAAAAAATTCAGCTGGGCATGGTGGCGCGTGCCTGTAATCCCAGCTACTCAGGAAGCTGAGGCAGAGAATTGC